TATCTTCTATGAATAAATCGGCACCCACTGAAATGCATCTCGACAATGTACAGCACTATACGGCTGAAGACACTCACTTGTTTTACAACTTGAAGCAAAATGTGAACTTATACTTCCATTGCTACGTAGAATGCTGTTACTCGGGTATTTGTTCACGGAAACTTCACGTTGTTGCTGAAGGGGAATGACAGACCTGGGAGGTAATCATATCGCTGATTTCGAGACTATTTTCATTGTTGCGTCTGTGCAAATTGGTATTCAAGTTGGCGACCCTGCGCGACGAACCTCAACAATAAGAAGCGCCCTTGTTGCGTGAACCCCCCCCCCCCGCCGCCGTCACCACCATTTCGTCTTCCTTGTGCTCGAAGGCGTCCCAAACGCCAAAGCCGCTTGTGCCGCCAGGGGTACGTGTCGAACGGGCGGTAATGCATTTGCCCCGGCGATGCTGGCAGCGCGCTTTACAAGTTGGCACACCTGCAGGGGAAGGGGGCTCCCATGGCCCCAGGACCGGGGGGCAGGGGGGGCTTTCGCGCAATTGGTCACGGGGGTTCGATGCGCCACGCTGCCCGCCGTTGCAGTCGGGCGGGTGCGAAGCTGCCCCGACGCTCGTTGTGAATGGGTCTGAGGGGAATAGAAGGGAGGCTGAGAAAGAACATGCTTGGGCAGGCAGGCTCTGACCTTTACGCAACGGCACGGCGGAAAAAGAAAGTGCGAACCTCAAAGGCGATTGCAGTTGGGAGCTGTGGTTCTGCCGTTACACCGTGCCTTTTCGTTTACATTTGCCTATAGGTCTTTGGTTCGATTAATCTACTCCATTTTTCACTTGTTCATTTTTTTACTTGTTCATTCTTTTACGTGTTCATTTGTTTAGTTGTTTCATTGTTTATTGTTTAATTTTTTATTTGTTTTATTTTTTATTTGTTTATTTTTTATTTGTTTTATTTTTACTTGTTTATTTTTTTCTTTGCTTATTTTTACTTGTTTAATTTTCACAGCTATATATTTTGTGGTTTAAAAACATCAGGCAAATTTTTATTTCAGTTATGAAATTTTAAAGTTAGGGCTCCATTACGATTGGTCCTGACTAGAGATCCTTTACGTAAATTTTAACGTCACTTTCGGACGGTTTTCATAACAAAAAAAAACTAAAAATTGGTCTTAAAGTGTGACATGGAGACAATTCAATTCAACAGATTTATAGAGTAGTTTCTTAAAATACGAAATCTCAAATGTAAAACGAGTTTTTATAATGTTACATAAAGGCCCTTTTCCGCTTAGTTTTGTAAGATGCAGTTAAAACATCTTCTACGCTGGCATGTTTTGTGGCAGAAGCTAATGGGCATTATCACATTATCAGATCGCAAAGTAAAAACTCTCTTAAAAGTTTCCCTATTGATAAATATTCCTCGCGTGATTTCGTGAAACTAGGAAATGTTTCGTGTTCAATTGGCCATCACGCGCGTTTATACGCCACACACATGACACTACATAGTGCTGTGCGGGGGGCAAGTAAAGTGGGGAACGAGGAAATTGTGAACAAGAAACATTTCATTGGCACATGTGAAGGTAGTTAATTAATACCTATCTTTTGTTTTTCTTCCATTGTTCAGTAGTCATTTTTTCAATGGGCAAGGTTCATAATGTTAATCCCAGATTATTAACGTTTTTTTTTCATAAACATTATCATCTAAAAATTACATAATTGAAACATTATTTTATTTTTTATAAATGTTGATGGACTAAACATCAATTCTTCGTTATTCAATAAATCAAAATGGATAAATTATGAAATCAGCGCAGATTTCTTCTATTTCATGTAATGTAAAACAAAACACAGTGATTTTTGGAAACTTGTAGTAAGACATTCCTGCTTTAACCTTGAAGGTACATTTGACAAAACTGTTAAAGAAATGAAGCTCGTAAAATAATTTTATTTTTAAAATTCAAACGTTAAACCAAAACAGCTTTCTTCATTGAATTCAGTTGAATATAACATGTAACAGAAATGCGCGATTCATATTTTAGCCAAAAAATAATAGTTTATATTTATTATATATTGTTATATTGGTAACGTAACGAACTACGACGGCCGTCGTTATGGTCAATTTCTACGCCTGACGAACACTCAAAGCATAGAAAATTTCTACATCAATCATCTCCATACTACTTTTCCTCTTTCCCAGGGCAAATGGGTTGGCGGAGAATCATATTTTTCAAGGGGGTCAATATTTGGGAAACGCCTATATATTTTTGAAACGTAATATTCATGTAAGTTTAAATGAATCGTAGGCGCTCCGCGGCAGTCATGTGTATGATGCTTGGTTCTGTCGGGTGACGCAATACAAGCTCGTCAACGCGGGCGTCCCTTTGGACAGCAAGTACTCTATAACGGGAATTCATAGTACGTTTACTAACTTATTAATCGAATTTAAGTGTTTTCGCGCAATTGGAATAATCGGATACTGAAGTTGGACCCTTAGCCGATTTGATAATGTGTATAGTATAAACATATAGTAAGAGATAAGGCAAGGTCATCTTCAGCGCTGCTGAAGAGAATTCTCAGAGACTTGACTTATCATTGATGCTTCGTAGTTTTCTCTATGGTTTCTTCGATCACTCGCATACGGGTGTTGGCTAAAACATTCGGGCCACCATTGCCGCTCTCAGATGTTATCTTCTTTCTCGTTGCCGTTTCCTCGCCCTACGAACGCGACATCTGCACACTGCAACGACTCGCATGCCGGAGACTCCGTCGGGTATGTCTATAGAGCTTGCTCACCTGGCCGCATGGGATGCCCCTGCTGCTGAGAGATAGCTCTGGGGGAGAAGTAGCCTCCACAATGCGTCACATACGGTCGGGTCGCGGATTCATACGCGGTTACAGGCGAGGGATAGGTCGCCTCTCACTCTCCCAGGAAAAAACATCGCGCACTCTACATTCACGGGTACTAATGAGCCTTCGGGCATGGTTAGACGTACCTCGGGACGCTGAACCGCGGCTGATCAGATGAATCAATTTTGATGTGTTTGTGTGACTGGTTGTTAGAAATATGATTATTTATTTTTTTAGCCACTCCGCTTGTTTTTTGTCGCCCCTCTCAGCGCTTGATGCCATGTCTACCTTGACCGCCACCGCCTGACGCTCACCGCCACCCCACCGTCACGCACCGCCACGCCACCGCCACCGCCCGCCACGGCAAACGCCACCGCACCGTCACCGTGACCGTCACGTACCGTCACCGTCACCGTCACCGTCACCGTCACCGTCACCGTCACGCGTCACGTCACGTCAGCCGGGTCACCGGGTCACGGGTCACCGGGGGTCACCGTCACCGGGGTCACGGGTCACCGGGTCACCGGTCACCGGTCACCGGTCACCGGGGTCATCGGTCACGCGTCATCGTCATCGTCATCGTCATCGTCAAACGTCCACCGTCTCGTCACGTCATCCCCCACCGCCACCCGCACCGCTCTTCCAGTAGCTGTCGATCTTCGGCTTCGCCCCCATTTCCGTGCCGGCCGTTTCTTTCGCCCCCCCCCCGACGCAACGGGTGCCCGGGCGCGACACGCTTTTCGTCACGCCGCGTGTGTGCCCGCGCCGACGAATTTCGACTGTGGTCGCGCCGGCCTCCCCGCGCGGGTTCCTATACGGATAGTTGTAGGCCGGTTTCTCCCTGCGCCGAACTGCTTCGGTGACAAGGGAGCTCCGTTTAGGCCTGACGACGCGACCGAACCCCAGAGACAACATCCCAGGTGTGACGAGCCAGGTTTTACGTTCGCGAAAATGTATGCATTTTCAGTCGGTAAAGAGAGAATATTAAATTCTAAGAAAGTGATGATAGTAAGTATATGATGAAGTCTAAGTAAGTGATGATAGTACCAAATAATAATAATAATAATAATAATAATAATAATAATAATAATAATAATAATAATAATAATAATGATAATAATGATAATAACAATAATAACAATAATAATAATAATAACAATAATAATATACTTGCTTGTATGTTGATGTACACACAAGTATATTGTAGCGTTTTTGTTTTAGTGCAGATAAATCGACAATCAATATTTTCGTTGTGTGGAACATTCATACTAATTTGATGTTTGTCTCTCTATTGATTGATATTTCTTGGGAAATCTATTGCTATGGTTATTAGTCTCATTAGACCTCCGTTAATATTTTCGCCAATCCGCGTAGACGAGATCGCTAAGGCAGTAGTGTTAAGGTGATCTCGGAGCGAAGGATCCATACTTCGAGGCCGGCCTCGGGCATGGATGTATTTGTGATAGTCCTTTCACCCCTCATCATCATCTTATCACTTCATTAAACAATTAATAAGTCCTCGCACAAGCATGACGCCGTTGCCCTTAATGGGATGTGCAGTTGGCAACAAAAAAAGAAATCATTTCGAAAGAAGTGTCGCAGTATTCTTAATAACACCATCTCAGCCCATGTCACCATTTTCAAAACTTCGCGTTCTCCATTTGAAACGCCATCAACATTTCATCATGATGAATCACAGTTATGGTGGTATGGTGGATTGGGTATACGATGGCAAAGCAGCTCTGGATTACCTTGCCCCGGGTCAGATGGATCTCCCGCCTGCATTCAGAACCCACTAACGAGTGGCGTTGGCATCATTATTCAATCTCTTCACCATCACCTCTGCCAAAAATATCTCTGTCTCCACCCCACACTCCATCACTACTCTATCATCACCTCAACAGCCATCACTGCACCACCACAACCACCATCACCATTATTATCACCCCTCCTCCAACACTTCCACCACTATCACCACTATCACCACCATCACCATCTGCACTACCCAATTACCACGACCAACCTCTATCCCTTCCATTCAACTACCATGACCATTCTCCCAACTTCTCTATCTCTGCTACCTCCTCCATCACCTCCGTTTCCTCCGCCTCCACCTCTGGTTCGTCGCCCCTTCCGCCGCCGTAACTTTCCTTCCTTTCATCCCCAGGAGCAGGCAACGAGGGCAAAAGAGGGCGACAGAGGCTGCGCGATCCCTTTCACTCGGATTCTGCACGGCCGTTCCGAGCCGCATGCGGCCGCCGTTCCCGAACAAAGGGATAAGCCGGCGGGATGGAAGCAATATGTAGGAACGCGCAACCCGACGACGGCGACTCCGGCGCACAGTGTGATTAAATCCACGAAACTGGGGCAAAAGTTTAAAAATTGAAAGAAAGAAAAAATTGTGAAATTTTGACCATCAATCTTCGATCGGAACTTTTTTCTTTTTAGTTTTTAATTTCGAATCTTGCGTACGATCACAATTGCAAGATTTTTAATCGCGTAAAACAAGCATAATTCTATAACAGTTATATTTAAGGCAAGGTCAGGCCCGTCCAGAAGAACAATTCCATTCATTCTGAAGCATCCTTGCGTGAAGCTAACTTTACTAACATTCACGGTGTTGTAACAACGACGATATTTATTTGGAGTTCATGACTGTACTGTAAGACCATGTAGCAAGTAAAAAACAGCGGAATGTTACTGGGGAGCGTCGAATTTTACAGAGGTAATGAGCGGAACTTTCTTTTTGTTGTGGAAATGGTAATAAATGTACGAGTGTCCTAAAGCTATTCCACAATTTGCACCTAAAACTTTATGAAAAGTTTACTTTTTTATTTTAACAATGTGATTAATCAGTCGTATGAGATCGCTCCTGCTCGTCTTGAAATATTAAATACATTTTTGGCCCTCAGTCACATTAAGGTTATGCACGTTATGGTGTCAGTAGTAGTAGTTTTTATTACTGGGCACGAAAATGTTTTATTATCAAATGAAAAAAAATAGTTATCGTTGCATGATTCAATGAAGTGTAGTAAATGAGAGGAGATAATTTTTTGGTATTTACACATTTTTGGCAATGAATGAACGAATAAATCAAATGAATGAACGAAAAAATCAAATGAACGAATTAATCAAATGAACGAATAAATCAAATGAACGAATGAATGAACGAATAAATCAAATGAATGAATGAATGAACGAATAAATCAAATGAATGAATGGACGAATAAATCAAATGAATGAATGAACGAATAAATCAAATGACTAAATCAATGAACGAATAAATCAAATGAATGAACGAATGAATGACCGAATAAATCAAATGAATGAATAAATCAAATGAATGAATGAACGAATAAATCAATGGAATGAACGAATAAATCAAAATAATATTTGAGGATTTTTCCACCTTTCGTTCTTTCGGTTTCACGTGGGGCAAAGAAGACTGTGAAGAGGGAACTCCAACTTATTACTTTCAGAAAGAATGCGTGTCCATGATTGAATAAACAAAAAGAACACCTCCGCCGGGTTTTGAAGCGCGCACCTGCACGCGCTTGCTATCGCCTATGGAATGGCGCATGTGAATGGATGTCTGTCCATGCATTGTTTTCTATTCAAGGATGTGAAGCGAAAAGGAATACTGACTGATATTTCTCGGTTTATACATTCGAAATTTCGCTCTTTTAACGTTGTTTAATGTGACATTTAAAATTCTTCATTGAGTGGGACGGTGAGTTAAAAGGCTGTGCCAGGTGGTGATAAGAAATGGAAGTCGATATATGCGCAGAAAGAGAATTTCAATCAGTTATTGCAATACACCACAGGCTGACAAAGTATTTAACAACTATTTCAAAAACCGTTATCCTCATGATGTTCCTTCAGAAAGAGGCACAAGAAATGTGAATGCATACTTTACCACTTTCTGTGCCCAGATTACTGAGAATAAATTTACCATTTAACTAGCAATAGATTGTGGGTATATGGTAGATAGTGTTTACATGAATGTTCATGGGTAGGTGTGTGTGTCATGCTGATAACACCATGAATCGAGAAGGTATTAATATCATTCTGTAAAAATGTTATTATTGCTTCATTATGATAGTAAAGTTTTTACTAAACTTTTTCATTTTACGGTTAATTTTGTCATTAATTTGATTGCTACACAATGTTGGTGGTGGAAGGATCAGATACATAACAATTACATTTAAAGAGAGGGACAGGTAAGGAGGAGGGAGGGGAATAGGAGGTTAAAAAATATGCTTGCCTTTGAGCCCTCTGAGATTATTACAGTAAAGTCGATGAAAGCTAATAGTTTACCGTGAATGACACATAATAATGCTTAATGGTACTAATAGTGTCCTAAAGAAAGTGATGAGACGTAAACTGAGGCAAGAAGATGAAAGCGGCTAGGGCGGGACTGACGGGACGGTGCAGAGAATGTATAGGAATGGATATGATGGGATATAAAATACCACGAACAGCAGTGGAGCAGCCTAGAGAGAGAATTCGCTATTTTGAGTGATGTTATGTAGCTTGTCAAACAAGAATAGGGGGCTCAGGGCATCAAATGAAGAGTCTGCAGTGTCTTTGACCGGGACGTCCTACGTTGGAGTTCTGACGGCGGCAGAAGTTCCGACACTGGCTAAAGACCTATATCGAATGAAGTTGCTGCTACGAAGAAAAGTGTTGGGCTCAGATGCTCTGGTTGGTAGTGTTTAATGGTTTCTTCTATCAATAACAGTGAATGCCGGAGCTGTGCTCTAACAAACGAGCTACAGACTACGCGCGATCTTTCTTTCCTCTTCCTTGTTCTATTCTCATCACTTACACATTTACTCTAACACGGACTACACTACCCCACAGGCCGGGAAACCGGTCGGGTGCTTAGAGTTCGTCACGGCTGGGGCAGCGCTCTGCTGGTGTGAGATACCTGGTTGGGAAACCCCCCTAGCAGACGGTAGGTCGTCGTTAGATATCAATCTCCAGCGGGGAAGATTCCCGCCACCTCCCGAGGAGGAAATGCACTACGTTTACGGGACTAATGACCTTAGCAGTGACGCGTTCGGAGTCACTAAACAATCATTTGACACGTCAACTACTGTATACATTAGTTCCGTAAAGTGCATGTTCTATCCCGGAGGGTTGTGATGTTCCTCCCGCTTTGGAACGTGAAACCCGGCGCCGACCTACACGTCATCATTCTGGTTTTCCCCTCCAGGTTTCTTCCCCAGCGAGGCACCGCCTTAAGCCGTGAGCTCCCGAAGGTCTCCCGGCATATGTGGTAGTGGAATGCACGCAAAAGTGTGAGTAAGGAGAATAGGTGCAATAATGAGGGAGCAAAGATTGCTCACATTCCGTGACCCGTATGTTGCAAGGTCCAGCACCAGCTAACACCTAGTATCAGAGAAACCATGAAAAACTACCAGTTGGAAAAACCGGCCTATAGAATTCTCATTCAGGCCGCGGCATAATTTGATCCACCCAACTAACTAGAGTCGAAATCCCCACCGTTAGGAAACGAGCCTTAGGACCTTCGGGCCAGAGAACAGCTATTGCCCTGAGCCATTTCAGCCTCAGTTCGGTCGAGGGGGATAGAAATAGGGCGTAGCCGAGCGGCCTTGTCAGCGTTGAAACACACTTCGATGTAGGAGACAACACAAATAGGGGAGGCTGCGATTGTGTCGGTCACGTGTCGCCTGCAGGGGAGAGCCAGCTGTGGCGGCGGCGGCGGCTGCAAAAGGCAACGAAAGGAAGAAAAGAAACGAGATTTGATTCGTTCCGCGGGAAGACAAAAGCCGCGCAGAATGTAAGGCAATATATGTTAGATGCGTATTGAAAAAGACTTTCGTTGTGTATTTCTGGAATATTTTTTTTCCCTTTCTCCAGTCCCTGGCGAGCCGTCGTCCCCAGGCAGGTACATATCTTTCCGCGAATCAGCTGCCCGGGCAGAATGCGGTTGGGGAATAAAGTGCAGCATACAGCAAGGGCTACAAGCGCCTTCCGTCTCATGCACAAGGCGGTTTCAATGTTTGATCTCGTGAAGTTTTCTCGCTCACAGATGGAAGCTATCGAGTGATAGACAAATGAAATTGACAAACGATTTCTAGGAGAAGCAATCAAAACCAAACACTGTTACGAGACTTTACTTTATTTGTAATGATACATTCAATACGTTTGGGAACGTATAACGGAATACGTTATATTATGGAACGCGTGACATAAAAAATAAAATAAATGGAAATTAAAATTGTTCAATTGGCCAATAATGTGTAATTTTAAGTTCTTCACTGGTGTCTCTCTCTTATTGACATTAAACAGGCTATTTAATTTTAAAACTAAATTTATTTTTTTTCAAATTTGAAATATATCTTTAATCGAAATTGTAATTTGTTTCTTATTGTTAAACATCATATACCTACATTTTAACTTCTTGCTTCTATACATGTTAACTCTTTCGAAATATTACAGTATAATGTAATAACACTGTAGATAGCTTTATTTAAGTTTGCTTTGAGCTAATGCTCGCTGGCAAACATGATTTGAATTACAATTAGAACAATATTAGAATAATACTATTAAAGCATTATATAATAATGTAATTAAATATTCTCATAAATAATAAAAGACGTTTTCTGCATGGTTCGACAAGTTACATACAAAACTGTATACTTTACAAAATCCTCAATGAAGGAAAGAAATGATGTTCCCAAAGTTCATATAAAATCGACATATCATTCAAACGTAAACCATCCACACAATATTTAAGAATATTTGTTATTAGTACATATGTGAAAAAAAGTCGAAAAGAATATTTATTGAGAAACTCAGAATTCAATTAATATGTTGGTTTACTGTCTCCAAAGTCTTCTGAACTTCAAATTGATCACATAAGACATTTTATTTCTCTTGTAAAAATCAACTTCCCACCTAGACAATTAAAAAATTAAATAATTATTTTTTTAATTATGCCATTTCTGTATTACTTGTATTGTGCTGCCCCCAAAGTTTTGTGGACAACCTTTTCAACCTTTTTTTTTTTGTCGATCCCGCCAACATTCACCTTCACGTATGAACCTACCCTGCAAATGGCCTTTCATTGTAATTCTAAGCGAACGGGCGCATGTTACCCGTTCTGCACGTACCATTTCTGTTGGGGTAGTTTATCCAATTTTACACCCTTCGTCCTTTTAACATACTGGCTCTGACGCGTGGGGGACGATTCCACGGTTCGCCCCCTCGTTTTTGGAGTCGGGGGACGCGCATCTGCCGCCAAATCACCGCGCGGCATTTTTACGCGATTCTCCGCGGCGACCCACGCCCGACTGTTTTGATAAGTGTCGTATA